CTCTCTCTCTCTCTCTCTCTCTCTCTCTCTCTCTCTCTCTCTCTCTCTCTCTCTCTCTCTCTCGCTCTCTCTCTCTCTCTCAATTATGAAGTGGGAATGGTCTTTGAAAAGGCCAATGTTCAGTGCAAATGCCAATAAACTCTCTTTCACTACTATAAGTGATATTAAACTACCACCTGATTTTCTTTTGGTGGGTTTCTTGCGAATTGGGAACTGGTTTTACCTTTGATGGGCCTTTGCGCATGAATGCTATGGACTTTGAATAGCCAATACTCATTTTCCTGTTTGGGTGCTGATAATCAGGATTACGTATTGTTTCTGCAAATTGTATATGTGTGCTGATTTATTGGATATTGTTTCTATCCTCTTTCTTTTACTATTTTGAGAGCTAATTACTTGTTGTTTGTGATCTTCAATTTTTTTCCTCACTCATTTCAAGGGCCAATTAGAGTCTCTGTTACTTTCATTGAAGTTTTATTGTCGACTTTTCTCTTTCTAATTATTAGATTCTGTTATGAAGTCTGAACATTGAAAATTCAAAAATCTCTAACTCGGATTGCCTGAATCGGATTGGGATTGGGAGGTGAGCGATTTTGGTCAAATGTACCCTGAAATCCCCCCGATTATCTTTTTTTTTTTTTTCTTTTTTCATTTTTTTAGCTCGTTTGTTACTGACATAGATTTGGCAATTGCCCAAGTCAGACACCACCAATCGTACTTGGACACTTGGTGCTCTACTCTGATTCTTCAATAACTGGTTTAATAATTCTCATTGATAAGACCTTCCCTTTCATCATCAAAGAGCCTAAGAAAATCCCTCCAATCAAAACCTCACTAACGCTCCTCCACATTTATAAAGTTGTTTTAGTTTTTTTTTTTTCTCTAATTTGGTGTGCTGAAAGACTATGGAATGGGTTGAATTTTCAGACCCAACAGCTGAGGTGATTGCATTGTCCCCAACAACTCTAATGGCAACAAACAGGTTCATATGTGAGATATGTAACAAAGGTTTTCAAAGGGACCAAAACCTGCAACTCCATAGAAGAGGTCACAACCTTCCATGGAAGCTAAGGCAAAGAACAAGCACAGAGATAAGGAAGAGAGTGTACATCTGTCCTGAGACTACTTGTGTTCACCATAACCCAAGTCGAGCACTTGGAGACCTCACTGGCATAAAGAAACACTTTTGTCGAAAACACGGAGAGAAGAAATGGAAGTGTGATAAGTGCTCAAAGAAGTATGCGGTCCAGTCAGACTGGAAGGCACATACGAAGACTTGCGGCACCAAGGAATATAAGTGCGACTGTGGAACCATATTCTCGAGGTACCTGCTTCCTCTGTTTTGTGTATGTGTGTGAGAGAGAGGGGTGTCTTCTCCTTTTAATCCATTTTTTTGAAACTGCTTTTACACTGTTTCTTGGACTTTGTTCATATGTTCTTGCCCCGTTTTTGAATTGGTTGTATATCAATTACCATGACTCTCTGAACTCAATTGAGAACATGAAATCTCTGCAATATTGCCATGATTTCCCCACTTCTTTTCGAGTATTTCGGAACATGTTTCTCTCATACATTCAATTCACAAGGTCTCTGTGTTATCAGGAGAGACAGCTTCATAACACACAGAGCCTTCTGCGATGCCCTTGTAGAGGAAAACACAAAGCTCAACCAAGGCCTGGCGACAATGGGGGCAACCAACCTACAAGGCCAAGTGTCCGAACTCATGTCATCCATGGCCATGCCACCCTCCATGGCAATGAGCACAACAGACTCCATAATGGGAACTGGCCTCTCAGACTTCACTAACCAAGATACCAAGAACCCACTGAAACCCTTATCACCCCATGAACTGATGCCAATGCCCCTTAAAACTCTGCCAAACATCATCTTCTCAACAAGCTCCTCTGGTTCAATGTTTAGCCCTAGGGCTAGCAGCATGTCACTGAACATGAACCAAGGAGCGGCTCACATGTCGGCTACTGCATTGTTGCAAAAGGCGGCTCAAATGGGTGCAACCGCGAGCTCAAACATTGGACCCCCGGTCATACCAAGAACCTTTCCTGGTCAGCTCATCACTCAATCCGATCAAACCCAGCTTCTTGGCATAGATACTGGGTTCTCGAGCTTTGGGTCCAAAAAACCATTAGAGATGAACTCTTCACAGTTCTTTGATCCTCCTTCTGAGATGAGTGACATGGGGGTCTTCTCTACCAGTGCTGGGCTGTTCATGGGGGATCACAACCAGTATCAGAAGGGCTTGGGGTCTGAGAACAACAGTGCTTCAAATTTGAGTGATAATAACTCGTTCTTGAATTCGAGAAACCAGGTCCAAGGAGCATTAAAGATGGGGAGATTTGGGAGGGGAAGTGAGATTGGGTCTGATAGGAATGGAGATAGAATGACTGTGGATTTCTTGGGGGTTGGTGGAAATATGCATAATTTCCATCATGGCCAGTCTTCTGTGGGGAAACCCATATGGGAGGTCTAGGAGTTTTCAATAAAATGATCTCTGCTTTGATGTTTGTTCATGTTCAAATGGGAGTCCTCATCAAGAGTTTTCAAGGCACAACTGAAGTCTTCATCTAAATTTCAGTTAACCATCAACTGCATACACTACCGGAACAAGAGCAACCCTGTCGAATTTCTTCAAAGAATCATTGTTCTCATAAGGCAATTGAAGTATTGAACTCCATCAAAGAGGGCCATTTACTTTTGTTACATAAAGGTTGCAATCATTTTTCGCCGTTGGATGTGAAATTCAATAGATTGAAGTGTCTTGTAATATTCGAAAAATTTTATTTTAGACTTTGTGTCCAATCAGTGACACATCCTCAACCATCAAATTTACACGTAACGGCTGATAATGAATGCGACCTCTTTGTATCAAAAGTAAATAATCCCATTGTATATATTTCTTCTTACTATGGTGCATAATTGTCACCGAGTTAACTATTTCTACAAGGCATGAGGTAGTCGCTTGGTCTTCTAACCATTTTGAGTGGACTCTATGCTCGCATGTGTTTGATATAAAAGAACTTCGCCCTTGGCCGAGCCGAGTAACTCAGGCAAGTCCAAGTGGACTCGCTCGAGTCCTGCATAGGGGCAAAAAAGCACTAGAAAAAATGGAAAAATTTATAAAAATATAAAAAAATTAAAAATAGGAAAAATAAAAGAAACCTTCAAATTTATAAAAGCTTAAAAAATATATACGAAAATGGATCTAAAAAAAACTGATTTATAGATGGCAAGATCTTAAAAAAATCGAAAAAAAGAAAAATAAAAATAGGGATACTGGCAAAAAACATTCACCAATCATTTACAAAAAAATTCCAATAAAAATAAAAGAAACCTTAAAATTTCTAAAAGCTTAAAAAATATATATGAAAATGGATCCAAAAAAAACTAATTTATAGATGTTGAGATCTCAAAAAAATCGAAAAAAAGAAAAATAAAAATAGGAATACTGGCAAAAAACATTCACCAATCATTTATAAAAAAATCCGAATCACATAAAAAAAATGTACCACTTATATTTTTAACAATTTTTTAAGAACTCTTTTATGTACCCTAAGTTCCAAAAATCACTCGGGGACTCGGGCGAGTCACGAAACCAGGTGATTGCCTGATTGTAAAAAAATTGACTAAATCCTAAGATATTTGCTAGCGAAAAATATGCATTAATCAATCAAGGTTGCCTATGAAAACACCTATCGAGGACTTTTTTATACGAAATTTCGCAAAACATCTTTGCATGACCGGATGAACAATTTTGAAAAAAGGTTTTGAGTTCTAAGTAACCTAGATCCGCCCATCCATCAAATGCACTGTCCTTATTCACTGTTGGAGCATTTGGGCCAAAATTTTTAAGGTTGATTTTAATTTCCAAGGATATGATCGTCGGTTGGGATGAACAGAAATGATCTACAAATTTTACGTTCCAACAAATTCCCTTAGAATTATCGTAATCCGAGTCTTTTTTCAACTGTTAAAAGTAGGATATTGATTGAGAAAAAAAAAAAAAAAATTGCAAGGTTAAAAGAAAACATTATTTTTCTTTTTAGTGTAATCATTTCCAAAGGGAAGCAAGAACAATGAACGGGAAATTAGAAGTTACTGAAGAATCATAAATTAGCAGTTACGTTTCTATGTTTGATAACCTTCTTTGGAGTTAAAAAGTTCATAGTTTATGTGTTTGATAACTCTTGGGATATATGGTAAATATTTTATATTTATATTTACATAGATAATAATTTAAATAAAAATATATAATATTTATAACATACTATAATAGAAATATATAATATACTATAATATATGATATATTGTATTTTATATTTATTTTTAATATATATATATATATATATATATATATATTGGACAAAATAAAAAGTTCCCTTTACAAATTTTATGGTTTACCGTAGAACTTTACTCAAGCCTAAAAGGTGGGAACTTCAACAGTAAAGAAGAGTTCTCAAATTATCTTCCACTTTTTATCAAACACATAACATGAGCAATAATATGTAAAGTTCTTTCTTCCTCTTCTAACTTCCTGTTATCAAACACTTCCTGTTTTCAAACACCCAAAGGGTAAGATTTATGATAAAATGGAATTAGCAGTATAATAACTTCTTATAGCAACCAATAATGTTAGAATCATCATCACAATCCAAGCTTTTTCTCAGGTTTAGATATAGATCGAAAAAATATTCCGTTCAATGTAATCATTCCCCAAGGGGTAAGATTTATGATAGATTGGAATTAGCAGTATGATAACTTCTTATAGCAACCAATAATGTGGATCTACTCATTTTTAGAGATGTCCCATTGAATTGTATACTGCTTTGGATAAAATGTCAATAAATTGATCAAACTACCTCACTGAAGTTGTCTAATGAACTTATTTTAAAGAGGGCCAGCCTGCATATTATAAAAATACGTGCTTGATAATAAATATATATTTTTAAATATAACTTGATCGTAATTTTTAGAGTATATATAATGGAGATCATGCGGCCGGCCTGCATATTATAAAAATACGTGCTTGGCAATAAATATATATTTTTAAATATAACTTGATCGTAATTTTTAAAGTATATATAATGGAGATCACAAATAGATAAATAAATAAATTTTAAAAACTAAAAATAATAATTAACATTTAAACTACTAGTTACTATGGTTTTTAGATGGACCACCTATTTGCATGGATGTTTTATAACTCTAGACCGCATATTCTAGAAATGCACCCGCAGGAAACAATTGTTCTTTTAAAAATTCGTTCTTCTCAAGTACTCTCATCAACTATTTTGTTAGTTCTCTCTATAAATCAAAAACAAATTAGGCATATGGATCATCTCTCTTTGTCTCAAAATTTGGGATATGGACAATAGACAATAAAATGAAGGAAAATAGACTTAGAAGGTCTGCTCATGTGGATTGTTGACCTAGAATAGCACCAATCTGGAGGGGTGTTGCGTTTCAAATTGAGGGCTCCGAAAAAGTAAATATGAAGCTCTTAAGACATGGATAAAAGTAGAGACAAAAGATATGGAAACTTATGATATGATTTAAGATGAAAAAAAAGTTTATACAAGGGCCAAGCCCTCAAACAGTCAAATTAAGACGCATCTAAAAAATTTTCAAGAAGAGGTTGTTTCGATACTGAAAAACCTTCAGTTTGATCCATCTCAACCTCAAGATTTATGAGTTAGGAAAAAGAGATTTCAAGTCTTGAAAATAATGCATCTTGTAAAATATTATCTAGATCGTAAAATTTCAAGTGTTCAGAAACCTGATAGATCTACACTAGTTTTTAATATTTAAATTTTATAATTATAAATGAAAAAAAAATTTCAGGCCATCACAAAAATTTATAATACTAAAACAGTTTACTTCGACACTAGTTAAAGGTGTGCCTTATTGTGATTGTTTAGAGCCTCACGTAATACAAACCACACACCCTTTAGAGTGTGACTCTTAATAGAACGAAAAGGCAAAACAAGATTCGCATAACCAATCCCAAATAATGGAGGGTAAAACTTAGATAATGATAATGATGACATAGCGCTTTGGACCTATTATTGACATCTTTTAATTTTTATGTCCTTTCTTTCTGGTCATGATTATTTCATCTGTGATTTATTTCCCAAAGTATACAATAAGATCACTTAGCTTTAGTACAAAATATCACAATCACTCTTAACTGCTAGATGAAAAATTCGACATATTTTTAAACAAAAAGAAAAAGCTAACAATAGTTGGGCAGCTATAATGAATAGTAATATAGGTAGAATAGAAACCATCAGATCTTCATCTTGTGGTTCAGAATGCATATCACTATATGAATTTTAATACTTTTATCTAGAAATCAGATCATAACGAAATTTTAAACGTACACTAACAAAAGGGCGCACAATTAAAAAATATATATATAATATTTCCCAAAATATAAAATAACTGAAATATCCCTGAAAAATGATGAGGGCAATTTGATCATTTTAAATTATTGAAAATAATTTTTTTATAGTTTTGTGTGGCGCGCAATAGTGTTAGGTATATACACCCAAAATTTCATCTTAATCAGATTTATGGAAAAAAAAAATTAAAATTCATATGGTGACATGCATTCTAAACCACATGATGAAGATCTGACGGCTGAGATTCCACCTATATTACTATTCATTATAGCTGTCCAGCTATTATAATGTTTACTCTAAACAAAAATATCATGATAATTGGACCTTTACGTATTTCCCTTTTGCTCAAACAACTTATTTTAAGTTTGACCGCCCTCCATTTTATTTTATTTTTTTTCGGGTAGTCAGCCACCCTCTAAATTAGCTTACATCCAAACAGCCTGCATAAGTGGCCAATATACAATGAATAAACAATTTTAAATCAAACTCAAACCTACATCTAATACAAATTGTTACAATGTAAATTATTTGATCCATGAAAGGCAAAAACTAAAAGAGACTAAATTTTATGCCATACTGTTGTTCCATGGTATAGTAGTGCAATTGGATTGCCCAACCTCAACTGAATACTGACCTGTGATAACTTAGAATCTGCCTTCAATATTTCCTTCTCAGCTTCACAGGCAATCTCCATAGCTTCCCTGTTTGTTACATAAAAAATGTATGCAAATATTAGGTCATCGAAATGAGAGTTGCCAAATGTAACACAAACGAATGCGGAAAATCGCATACCGAATTAATAGTTCTGGGGGCATGGAGACCAGGACTTGGACGAGGATACTCCCTTGTAATGAGTGATATGTAACATGCTCGACTTTCATCTTCTGAAACTCAACCAAATCCATGATTCTACATAAATTTTTTTTTTAAAAAAAAAAAGGATCCCATACACAATTTAGTTCAGAACATGCTACAAGTGGTACATGAGTAAGATACAAAGGGAGGTAATCACTTACAAGATTCAATTTGAAAGAATATAACAGGAAACCAAAAAGGATATGCAGTAAATTCTAATCTTGGGTATAGTTAAAGACCAACAGATTTTGAAAACCAGACATTTTTCAAAGAAGCCTGGTTGTTTGCTAATCACCCAGTTTAAATAAATGAGCTGGAAGAGAACAATTACTTTGGTAAAACTAGGCAAATAAAGGGATATTAGAAAAAGACAATAGTACTGGATCAGAAGGTATCGGTCATTTGTTTAATTGCTTCGGGGAGTACTTCTTTCCTCGTGCAACTTTTACAATTCAGTCAATCCACATCTTCCAACTTCCATTTATGGTTAATTACGCTTAGCTCCAAATAAATCTAATCTGTAAGAAGAATAATTATAACTTCAGACCATTTCTAGAAAGAAAAAGATAGCTTGTTCATCATCTAAAGGGAGGAACAAATAGAACCTTTTGAACACAGTTATGGCCATTTCAGTTATTTCTAAGAAGATAAGTATTAAGAGTGAACAGTAGTGAAATCTTAAAAGGAAATCCTGTACAGAGCATGCAAATCTTATTTTCAAGAGAGAAAAAGGAAGAATAGAGCAATCATCTTTAACCATGTGAAACATGAACCTTGCATAAACCAACCCATTATTGCATGTTTCCAAATGCCAATATGAGTCCGGAAAACGTCCTTCTAAAATAGCATAAATATGTATCATCAACGACAGAAAAAAAACAATGAAAGATTAAATGCCAATACTTTTTGCAAAGAATATTGCTGCATAGTAAAAGATTTCTGCTTTGGGAAATAGAGATAACTGAATACAAGAACATAAACTCACTTCAGTGAAGCCCTTAAACTCTTATTATTTTGCCAAAAAAAATAAAAGAGTACAGTATGTGTGTTTTCCTCTACTCAGTTAATGAAGACATGGATGCGAAATACACTTGTTGATATTGATTGATAATTTACAAATAATACCTCAGAAAATTTTGACGAAAGAACATGATGCACAATTTCTTCAGCGTCATGTTGCATTAACGTGGGAGGATTCACAGCTTTGTCTTTCTTGCTCTTGCAACTCTTTTGAGGACTACATACAGCGGTGCTTGGTGAAATTGCAGGATCTGAAGATACCCAAATATATTACAAAATAAACCAATTTAGTTATATTACCAAAAACAAAAAGAGAACAGAAAGTTCAAAATGCAACAAGAACAAAAACATTATCCGCACAATGTCATAGTAATTATCCGCACAATGTCATAGTAAGTGATCTACTTTTTACAATTCATCAAGACAACTACACTACAGTTCATTGTCTAGGAGGACATTGTGTATTGAGTCATCTCCTATAAATTACATGAGGTTCTTGGGTCATTTGTTTTAGGGGTATTTTACTCATTTGATGTAACCCGAACTGTATAAATATGCAATGAATACTAATCTTCAATCAGAACATCAGTATTATAAGATCCAAGAGCTCAAAAACTTGAAACATTACGTTCCATAAGTTCCATTCACAATACACCAATATTGTTTGTCAAATGTGCTAATTTGTATATTATGTGGTACTCATATCTCAGGTACAACAAACAGATTCAGAATTTAATCACTGGCATATGGAACAGCAGGAAGTTATGCAAACTGATAATCATTGTCATAGAATTATAGAATTCCAGAATGGCTTAAAATGAAATTCAGGGTACTGGTGCATAAGCTATCTCACACAAATGTTAAGGCTTAAGGTTTTATGCATACGCTTGACGCAAACTATGATTATAGTCATTTTCACCTCAAATACATTAGAATCTAAATCACATAGAAGGATGGCATCTCACAAACACACAATCTATATACACATCTTATAAATTGCATAAGAGGTAACTTTCAAAAGAGAACACGAAGGAAAGCGCTCATGCGGTTATAACCAAAATGTTCAATGAACAATATAATAACTGCAAAAACAAAGCTTGGCACTTATTACCACGAGAAACACAATAAGCATACCTATGTGTATAAAGACTTCTGAAACTTCAGAATGGGAAGTTTGAAGCTGATGGCGAACACTTTCCCCAATATCATGGGCAGCACTGACACTCAAAAATGGATCCACCTGCAGGTACAAGTAAATGGAAGGAAACTACATAACAAGTAACTGAAAGGAAATTATTTAATGGGGTCTGAATCGACAAGCACAAGCACATTGTATCCACACAGGGGATCTTAGCATATTGTATCCACACATGCCCATTTTCAACTCATACAACCCATCTTAGCACGATGTAACCATACACGCCCATCTTCAAAACATACTCTCCCTCCCTCCCTTATACAGACGTGGCCTGAGATCCATATTCTAGGTATAACATGGCCTGAGATTCATTTCTAGGTATGCACAGGAAGGCACACCTGCTCTCCTAAGGATCATTCTATAACCGACATTAAATTCACAGGAAGAGTGAAATAAGCAAGAGCAAAACCACATTAGAAAGATCATGAATATAATTATACTCTCCAGATTCCACATATAAGTTGCATTTATTCCAAGTATCCCTTAAGCATTCTTATACACCTCCAGCCCCAAACCATTTGTTCCTAAACTGCGAAAAATGTTGAATCAAGCTAATATTAAATAAATAGGGCATAAAATAAAGAAAAAACAATTTCCCTCAACTTCCAATCTGCTTCACCATTAGATGGGACACCCTAAGTCTTTCCAGTGGGTCTCCTTTCTAATCATCAAAATTGATCATCATCAAAATTGATCATCATCAACATCAACATCATCATATGAGCCTTATCCCAACTATTGGGGTCGGCTACATGAAACGTATTCTGCCGCTCTTGGTTCGGGATTAATGAAATAGATGTGGCAAAAGCTTTACAGTCTGCCCACCAAACACAACCCTCCTCCTTTCTCGGGGCTTGGGACCAGCCATGGTGGAGTTCTAATCATCAAAACTGATATATTATAATTATAAAAATTTATGCAATACGTTACAAATATATAGCGATCTTTTTTTATGTGAAATTTTATTATTCGTAAATAAAGGATAAGAGATATAACATTTAAGTTACAAACAAGTATATAAAAAGGATCATAGCATAGAAAATTCAAATCGAGATCCAATCTCGTAAGTAACAAACATAAATACCATGCTTAACAATTTTAATATGTTTCTTATATCCATCCGCTGCCTTTGATTCTGCTATCTAGAGCATGGGTGGTAATGCTGACCAAGAGGATTAATTTGACCACCAACTAAGAAAGTGAGTGACTGAATATTCTCCATTTCCTAAAAAAAATAGTAAAACTTTTCTGAGGAAAATTAATTTCTATTGAAATGCAAAGAGTTAACCATTGCCAAACCAACTTAGTAGGTGTTACTGATATTTTATAAAGAAATAACTGAAAAAGAACATACCTCTATATGAACATCAAGATATAAAGCAGAGCCAGCCTTCCTCCCCCGCAAGTGATGGCATCCCTGAATAAGATAAAACAATAAAAGCAGTCTTTCACATGCCATTGATTTAAAACATCAACACAACCAAAAACATGGGACGCCATAGTTTGGCGACATCAAACATGAGAACTAAGAATATCCTTGACAGGTTTTAAGATACACAGAAATCAATGTTCTAACCTTAATCACAAACTGAAGCTGAAAGAAGAAGCACACTCTACAAAGAGAACTACCCAAACATGAACCTTGAAACTTTATAAACTCCTTCATATGTTGCAAATAACAAGAGGTTTTTGTTTCGCCTTCTCATTGCATCAAGTAAAAAGAATCAATACCTCACCTTGACTCCTTCAACTTTGAGTATTGTATGCCGTATTGGAACCAAAAGATCTTGCGGAACAGCAGCATCAACAAGTTCCATCACACTAGGATAACACCACACAAAGATTCAGAGAAGTGCTTATGTACATTAAAATATTGTAGTTCCAGTTTATGTTACACTAGGAAAACAAAGCTCAATAACGTTTATTAAAAAAAATCAATTTGTTTACTTTTATGCAAACAAGAGTATATCTATTATAAACTTCAAATTAATTTCTAAAGAATTTAAGCATAATATATATGCTGATGATATGAAAATTAGGCCAACATGAGATATGGACCCTGGTAGTAGACATGATATATATACTTATGCTATTGAAATCAATTCAAGTTAAATATGATATATGATTACCTATATATGATTACCTATTGTATCCAGATTCAATTCCAGCTTTCAGTATCATTCCTGAGACGATTAGACCTGCAAGAGGATCCAGAAATGGTACTCCAAGAATAGCACCTCCTACATTTAATATTAATTGTATGAAGTTAAAGGTAATGCTTGAAAATTGGACTGGAGATTAAACTGGAAAGATGGATTGCCTGGATCAATCCAGTTTAATCGCCAGTATCACTGAATAGACCTGTTAAATAAAATAAACTTTAAAACTTTTGAATGGTGGTTATTTGGCAAGTTATTCAGTTGAATCAGTCAGTTTACCGTTTTAGCCATGCTGGTTCAACCCAGTTCAATTGGTTCAATCCAATTTTTTAAGAAACATGAATTCTTAATAAAACCAGACTGCTTTAAGCCTGATTTCCAGTTCAACTGCACAGTCTAACTTGTTTCAAAACATGCTTTGTGCAGATTGACCATACCGAATTCTTTTCTCAATGATACCCAGAACTAGAAAGAAAGCATGGTGCAATTTTTAGAGAAGCAATAATCAGCAACTTTTCACAAGAACACCAGATACAGTACGTGATTTAATATCAAACTGAAAGGTACTAGAGCCACTGATAAATGAATCAGAAGACAAAAATCTAGCCGACAAAGTAATTGTTGCGGCCAAAGAAGGTAGGACATGGTCAGCCCTAAGTATCTAAAAACTAATGGAAGTGCTCCCACTGATAATAGAATAAGCAAATATGCTGTATAATTACATTTAAGGTGGTTAACTCATTGATTGCAAACTAGTCCAAGCTGCAACAACTCGCCAGTCAAACTGAACAACAGGCTTGTTCATATCGGTACAGAGAATAAAGCCCAACAATTTTCCCACATCTGTAAAAAGCTCAACCATTTCTTTTTTTGGTGGAAAACTTGAATAGTTATTCCACCAAGTTAGTCAAGCTCTCCAAGAAGATAAAAAATTGATTTTCTTGGCTGTTTATTTCCTTTTTCTCATATTGCTCTTCAAGCAAAATCTTGTTTCTAAATTCATCCAACCCATTCATACCCTCAAGAATACTCTCAAATTTTCCCCTTTTTTTTAATATATATTCTTAAAGTACAAGTAGACTCATTTTCTGAGGAACAGGTCATGGGCCAGCCTCAAGCTTTTGAACTATGCAATTAATGATATAAATTGGAGTTTTGCTCTAAATCAAAAACCAAATAAAATGATAATCATAATCATAAAACAAAATAAAATATAAACTCAGCTGACCTTAGAGTAGGGTTAATTCCGTAAGTTCCAAAAGAGGCTAGATCCAAGGCATATTCTATTTTTGCTATTTAAGGATTATAAGGAGTGTATGGGCATCTAGGATTCTATAACACCATGAGAAACACCATGTAATCTCGATATTCCTCACATTTGAATGAAATTAGAATTTATCATAGAAGAGGACCATATAAATGATGAGTCTCAAGAGAGAGAGATCATCACTATCATAACTTTTTAAAAAACTGATATTAGGACAGCATGGCTGAATTTCACACAAACTTGATCTTTGGATTTAAAATTCAAAAAGATGGGTGCCTACTCCAGAGAATAAAAAGTCTAGGACTACATGCACTGGTTAGCTGGTTCTGGCACCACGCTTGCTTTAAACAAGTCATCTTGCATTGCATGTTGGAATTAACTGTAGAAAGTAAAGCCAATATTTTTAGGGATTGGAGTTTTCTTCACAAACTAATCCCATTAAACAGAAGAATCGTGCAAGTATTGAGGCATACAAGTTCTTGTGCAACAGCCACAACAGAAAGGTAGAAAAAAGAAGAAGCTCACCCAAGATTATCATATGAACATAATAAAAGCACTCGCAGAACATTAAAAAAAAACCAAGTACAAGAATCACCCATGGAAGTCAGAGACAAGCTTACCAACTCCAGTGAGGGTAACTACAGAGGACACGGCATCTGCACGATGGTGCCATGCATTTGCTTTCATCAGTCCACTCCCTTCCCTTTCCCCAGCTCTTTTTGTAATCCAATATAGCCTGCCATGGAAGAACAACGAGTACCTATAATGAATAAAGTATCTAAATATATTACTTTGTGATAGCTTATGGTGAATACCAATAATAATTTGAAGTGTCAAAAAAAATGAAAAGAGCTATTTTCTAATAGATAAATGTCCTTCAAAATTATCTCCAGTATTTATAAATAATTTAGTACGTACATCCACGAGGAAAGAACTATTTTGCCAACACAATCAGTGCTCGACCCAATTCTATTCTGGGCATCAGAAGTAATAAAAAAATGAAATACCCTGGGAGATGATGCTAATGAAGGACATGATGAATGCTACAATGCAAAAGGATTACTTATGCACAAACAAGACCGACTTTATAGTTCTTAAACCCGTAACTGAGAATAGAGAAATAACAGCAACGCTTCCTTATTGTTTCAATAACTCCTGCTCAGAATCGTTAGCTAGTACGCCTAAAGTCAGAAGATGAAAGTCCTCAAACCAAGTAATCAGGAAGAACAACTTAGAGAGAATGATTATAAAGCATCCATTTCAAGTGCCACCACTCACCTTCATATAAGCAATTAAGCAAAATATGGCTGCAACTATATTCTCGCAATTAGCATACAGGGAGACATACTGAAAAATGCAAATCAAATATCTGCAATGCTAGGGAAGCATTCAAATATATCAGCAATCACAAATGTTCCAATCTAATTAAATCTGTTGCAAGTAAATCCACTATGGAGGCAAATAAGGATTTTTCACTTGTTCGGCAGATGCAAGAGACTTGTCCTAACGGTAAAAAAGCCATAGAAGATCTAAGGGAAGCGGCCACAGAAGTTGAGCCATAAACTGGGGACACATTAGATATTCTCATCAAATGACTGGAACAGATAGCTTGCATACCCTTCTTTGACAGCTATTGATATGATTGTCATATTCAATGCCAGGATAGGGTGATCCATATCAATTCCATGATGATGGTGATGGCCTCCATGACCATGGCTACTTGCATGTTCATGTGCAATTGAATGTATACTTATATCAGGATTTGAGGTCAGCAGTCCCTGAAAATGAAGAACTCATATTTTTGGCACTTGTTCCGTAAGAGAAAGCATGCTATGCTTCTGACTTCGAGTTGATATAAATTTGCAAATTTGTATGAATCCATGATATGAACACTAATTTTCCATAAAACTTACCTAAAACATTAATTTCTCACCCATAGATTTCATAAGCAGCATTAAACTACAATCCTATATTTGCAATAAAGGTGTTCAATTTGAAAGACATGAACTCTACAATAAGAAATGAGAATAGCGTACCTGTAGGACATCCACAGCATGCCAAGCTATTCCACCCGCAGTCGCCAAAAGCATACCAGAAATTCCTAGCGCACCTAGTGTCTCAAACTTACCATGTCCTGAAACAAGAATAGACTAAGAGAGCAATAAAAACCCTTCATATTTAAAGAATTAGAAGATATCAAAGGATAATATGAATGAACAAGTTGAGATACAATATTTGCTTTTCCAAATGCCCCATTAATTTGCTTGCTGCACAATCAACATAGTCATATTGGGAGTGTATACTGCAACCTAAGGGACTATGATAAACCACATTAGGTTGGGATCATCACCATCAAATGAAATGATGGACCATGATGAAGATAGAGAGAGTGATACCCATAAGAACAGGTACATGACCGCAATGACTCCCTCTCCATCACTGACCATATTTTCATTAGATGGTGACAACTTTTCCAATATAACGCTGGATCATAGTACTCTGTCCCACTGTATTAACCAAGCATAAGCATCCACCAAGTTGTCAGATTGGACCAGTTTTGTCGAGTAGACAACTTAGCAGGGATGTTTCCTTTAAGAAGTACATAATAGAATTGAACACCAGGATTAAACCAAGAATAGGAAATCTCCTCAAATCATGCTAAATCACCAAATTTCAAACATTTTTTCCTCTTCAAACCAAGCCGACGTCCAATAGTGAATCCCTAATTGCAGTTTATTTGTTCAATTGAATTTTTAGAAATAAATATACCATTTTTAAAATTACAGATAGCATTAGACATGTCATCTCTATTTGAATTTCCCAAAGAAGTAGCTTCATATTCATTTGATGCTAAATAATTTCACGGAGAATGCATGAAGACAATCTTAAAACCATCCCCCACTGGTCACATCTCTCAAATAAATTCAAGGGAAATTTGCAAAAACCCCTCAAAATCAGACTTTCTGGACAACTTCCCCCCAACCAAGTTTTTTTAGCAACTTTTACCCCAAATTTAACTTTCCTAGCAAATACCCTCAAGTAAAAAAGTCACATTTTTTTAACGAAAATGCCCATACCCTGTGCAACAACTGCCGGACCCCCTAACAGTCCAGAGCCAAAGGCCAGACTGCCCTATCTTGTGTCGGACCGAGTGCTTTTCAGAAGCCCAAAGTGCCAGACCGCCACTATTTTGTGCCGGACCACATGCTTTTCAGAAGCCTAAAGTGCTAGACCGCATGCTTTCCAGAAGCCCAAAGTATCGTACCGCCCCTATTTTGTGCCGGACCCACACTTTCCAACAGCCCAAAGTGCCGGACAGCCCTTATTTTGTGCCAGACCGCATGCTTTCCACATCAATGTCTGGCTGTACGGGTATGGACATTTTCGTCAAAAAAAATATGACTTTTTGACTCGGGGGGGTATTTGATAGAAAAGTTAAATTTGGGGTAAAAGATACTAAAAAGAACTTGGTTGGGGGGGGGAGGTTGTCTAGAAGTCTTCTTTTGGGGGGTCTTTGTAATTTTCCCTAAATTCAATTGAGCATAGAAATCCGAAAAGTAAGAGAGAAATAGGTAATGCCATGAGTCCCTCTAAGAGGAAGAACATCTTGGTCAGACATAGAGGACCCACAAAGTCCCCCAATTCACCGGTTACAATATGAAACTGCCAAGGAAATGGAGAATGGCTGTTCAGTTTGTAGCCAGCTAAAAGGTTTCAGAAGCTCACATGTAACACCGTGAAGTTATGCCTTAACTTCAATACATACCAAGTGACCAACAGATAACCAAAAAGCAATCTGAATATTGCTCTGCACTCAATCTTGATGAAGCATTAATATCCATCAACAATAGCACGATCCTTCTTCTTTATCATGAAATGAAGCACTAGCATACTTAGTTACACTTTGTTTTACCTCTTAACAGTTACATTTTTTGAGGAAGTGAGTAACATTATCTGCTCTAGCCTTCTTATCTTTTCTTTTTTTTAACTAATAACAATTTTATCGTAATCTGTGAAAATTACATGTCTTCTTGCTGCCAAAATTGTATGTATTTTTTTATAGTTGTCAAAATTACATGCATTGTGTCAGTTTATTAATTATTGTTTACAACACTAACACTGCTGTTGGGAAAAAAAAGCTACTTGAGAATCATGTGTTTAAAGTCAATGGAGTTTCACCATATGGATGTTCCTTGTCCTTTGGAACCCTTGCCGCCCTAAATGACCACCAAGCAACACCACTAAGGATCTGCACAGTAACAATGCAACTAAAATACATAAGTGGAAAATATTTCTAAAATCAGCACATAATGAACAATGCAAATGCATTACAAAAATAAAGATAATACTGATTGTCTAATCAAATGAGCTCCCAAAATAAAATGATTGTATAATCTAATGATAAAGAATCAAAGAGAGTACTATCCACATGGATCGATTTCTAGATATTAACAATCTACAGTGAAAGACCATAAGAAGCAAAATATTTAAATTTTCATATAATAGACTATAAAGCACTTAACATGCCTTACTAGCCATATAATCCAGTTAAATGAGAAAGGCCCCTTTTTTAAATTGTTAACTTGGGAACTGGTAGAAGTGGAACTCATGACAACACCTGACACTCTGACCACCTATGCATTGAGCCCGTTCTATTAACCAAATATTACAGGAGCTCACAATTTCATAATGAAAATATATAATGATACTTAGAGAAGAATACCCATTGATAGGTTTAGCCTTTAGGAAATCCAGACTGCAAAGATGAAGTATGAAATACGGGAGTATGTCATATTTACCAAACAAAACATGCAACCACTACGTTTTCCATGATTATACAAAAAATAGTTACCCCGTAAATGTGAGTGAGAAAGAGAGACAATGGCCATTGAATCATTCTAGAAATACACCTATCAAGTTGGGACGCCATTTAAGCTAATAGGCTTTGTTAGCAAAAAATATTGGAAAATAACGGTGATTCTAGTTAATCAACATGATGCTGAATATCAATTATGAAGATTTTTTGCGAGATTTCATAAATTAACCATTAATTGACCAAATTCATACAAAATCAAAACAACCCAACTATGCAACTATCATTAATTTAATCATGGATGCGAAAAAACAAAATGATTCCAATGATCTCCGTTCAAGACCATCAGATTTACATCCAAATGAATAAAACCCACAAAAAAAATCAGAACAACCCAAAAATTCAGAACAGCCCAACAATGAATACTTAAGAGGCTTCTCTCGCTCTAAAATACTAAAACCCATAATCAAAGAGAAAGAAAACAAGACCCAAGAGAAATGGCATTGATGGGTTCCACTTACAATATCAGAAATTGAATGAGCAGCATCAGCAATGATTGCAGTGCTCCCTGATAAATAACCTGTCAAAGATTTCCCTATTGCTAATGCAATATCAGCACCTAAACCCAACCTGAAAACATAATCAGCCTCTTTTCCATCAGGGTGGTGATGGTGGGCATGTCCCATATGCCACCTCTTACTGGTTTTTGAATAGTGATTATCTTCAAATGTGACGAAAAGATTATAGTTATTGCTGGAATTGTACAGAGAGAAACTAGCCATAAACGAATTTGATGGGGGAATCTTGTGAGAAATAGAGAACAAGGCATGGTGTTGCCTGAGTAAATGGAACAGATTTTGAGGTCTAAAACCCATGAAATTGGGATTGGATTTCAGTTCTTAAATGAGTTTGTCTGGTCTTAATGGGTTTTGTAAACTGATAAATTGAAGAACTTGGGTGACCAGGTTTTGATCTGCATGCGTTGGGTGTAAGCACTGTTGACTAGAGGCTACAGAAGTAGAGAGAGAGAAAGAGAGAGATCGTGTCGATACTCGATCCAATGGTGCACTCCTTTCCTTTTCAAAAGATTTTAGGAAAATTTAAACGAAAAAGTTTATATAAGGATTTTTTCTTTTTTGTGTAATTTTTCAATAGATCAAGGAAGCACATTTTAAAGGTGTTAATTGGGGTGGTAAGCCGTAAGAATAGATACCACAGTACGGTAATTGGGTTTGGGATGCTATTATCACGATCTTTTTTAAAAAAAATATAAAATTATATACTCAAAAATTCATCATTGTTTTAATGTTAAAAAACTCTCTGATTTAAAATTTTTTATAATGTGTATATCTTGTAACCCATTATATCGACCGTTCATTCTCAAGATTTTCATATGTTTATAGATCTACTTGATTTTATTTAATTTTAGAGTTCAATATTTTATTATTGGATATGAAAATTAATTTTGATATAATTTTAATAATTTTTTGCACCAAAATTACATGTTATTATAAAATTTTGGGGACACACAAATTTAAAATAATGCACTTAAAAGTATTAATTATATTTGACATCTTCAATAGTAGAAAATGGGTAAATGTTTAAGGTGATTTTTTTTTGGGGAATCGTCGATTCAGATGGGAAAATGGGTAAATGCTAAAGCCTTTTCATGAAGACTAGGTCTTCATATAAACTTCATTGTATATTAATTTCTCTAAATATATTAGTAATTGAAGCACTAAAGTAGTTTATTTATTTTATCTATGGAATTATTTATTATGAGATTTTTTTTTATAATTGATCATTGTATATGAAATCCAATAGATTAAATTATATCACAACATTCAATAAATAGTTTTTGACTTTAGGCTAAAACAATTGCACACCCTCAACCACCCAATCTTAAATTCACACTTAACTATAATTACGATCTCTTTGTATCAAAAGTAAATGGTCTCATCATATATATTTTCTTAATTTATACACACTTAGATATATGCATCCATAGAGTTTGGATTGTAGCTTAGTGTAAACTATTTAAGGCTATTTTTAAATTAAGAAGGAATTTTTTAAAAAAAATTAAAACTAATTTTAAATTAAAAAGGAAATTTTATTAAATATATCTAATTTTGCAACAATTTAACAGTGTCATTAGTTTGAAGTATTACATGTATTTGATAGGTCTTTTGAGAACTCAAACAAGAAAAATGTTGAGATTAGTCCACCAGCTAATATGAACATATGTGTTCATATGAGCCCAACAGTCCAGATTGAATCTAGGTTGATCTGACGGTCACGACCTCATTTCGTATTTTTTTTTTTTTCTACGAATCCAAATAAGTTGAATTTTTAGGTGTGTATTCTTAAAACATAGGAAAATATAATAAAAATATCAAAAAATAATTTATAAAAAATAAATTGACCATAATACCTTTGAAACGTTTCAAGGGTATTTTGATTAATTTATTTGTTCGAAGTATTTTTAAAATAATTTTTATTAAGTGCGAATTGATGAGAATAATACACAACTAAATTTCAAGTTATTTAGATTTATAGAAAAAATTAAAATTAAAATACGAAATGAAGTTGTGACCGTCAGATTGGCCCAGATTCAATCTGGGCCGCTGGGCTCGTATGTTCATATGAACTAGTGGACGAATCTCAACATTTTCCCTCAATACAATCTCAAATGGTTGACTCGTCAGGGTGTGGTTTCTATAAGGTTGCAACTTTAAACAATCTAATCAAGGTGCATCTCTAAACTTTATCACAACATATAATTTTGGTGTAAAACATTCTAAGGATTAGTTCAAAATCTATTTTCATATCTAGTTATAAAATTTTAAAACTCTAAAAATGATTAAAATCAAGTATATCTATAAACATATGAAAAATCTTAAAAATGTACGGTCTAGATAATGTGTTGCAAGATGTACTATTTTCGGGACTCAAAATTTTTTTTTTTTTCTCATATTCATATATCTCGTTGTCGAGATGATCAATTTGAGCGTTTTTCAACATTAAAAAAATCATTTCCTATAAATTTTTAGGATGTATATATAATTCTACATTAAGGTTGCAACTTATATAATTTTTTTCCGAATTTTTATACCTAAATTTCTCAAAATTAAATTCTTTGAGAAGGGGCACATGAGTAAATCCAAATTTGTTGCCTCATATCTAAGTTGGTTGTTACATGGGCGCCAGGAGGCCATAAAACCCACATCCTATTATGTCATTTTCAAAAGGGAAAAGTTTATATAGAGGTTACGCTCTAAACAATCAAATTAGCACCTCCTTCAAAACTTCTACGGCAAGAGGTTGTTTTGATGCTCAAATACCAATAAATTGATCATCTCCGTACCGAGATACATAGACAGGAGAAAAAAATAGATTTCAAAATTCATAAATAATGCATCTTGTAACACATTTTTTTAACCGTTAATTTTCAATATTTTCAAGATTTTATAGATATGCCAAATCTACACTATTTTTTAAGCCTTTAAATTTTACAATAAAAAATAAAAATATAATTTAAAGCCATCACAAAACTTTCCAGTTTTAAAACCATATTTTTCTACACTATTAAAACGTGGGCTCTATAGTTAGATCGTTTAGGGCCTCGGGTCTATACAAACCGCACCGTTTTGATAATAGATCGGAACGTTGAGTTAATCCCCGCAAAGTACAAACCATGAGCTCTCTCACTCTGCAAATTCCGTTATTTCTCTCTTTAAAAATTCCTTTAATCACTCTAAAAATTCCGCTCTTTCTCTCTCTAAAAATTCCTCTCTCTCGCTGCAAAATTTCCGAGCAAATGCTGCTTGCTTGTCTGAAACAAGGAAGTAAACAGGCTTTTAACATGGCAAGAAGAGCGGGGTCCATCGTCCATTGAAGAGGTTCGGCATTCTAACTAACTAGTAAACCCATTTTCTCCATTGAGGAGTGGAAACAGGGTTTTCCAGTGATCATCAGGACCAGAGTTCCATCAATGGCGAAGGACCACGAGAAGATGCTGTGAGAAATAGGGTTTGAGCAATCATCGATGAAATTAGGGTTTCTTTGAAGGCGAAGAAGTGAAGAAATGGGGCAGGCAATGCGCAGAGCAATTAGCAGGGGTGGTAGCAAACCTTCCGAGACATCATCAGCTCGGGTAAAGACTATGGAACAAAGGCCACGAGTTTTTCCATCTGAAACAGAAGCTCCCAATCCTAGTGTTGATGTAGCTAGTGAAGTCAATCCTGGTGAGTTAGCTGGTTTCTAAATCTTCCATTTTTCTTTCTTTTTCCATGTGAATTGTTTATTTGATGTTTGGGAATCTGTTTTTCAGTGCGTTTGGGAACGTAGTTAGAATTGAATTGGTAATCTTTTGAATTAACCAGCTGGATGAAATGGGAAAACATGCGCTTCTCTCATATCCATGCCAATCTTGCATATTATAAAAAAACGAAAAGGATTTACATCTACTTCCTACATGGAGAAATTTACTGAAAAAATCAGGAAGCATGTGTAGAGACCGGTATATCACACTTCAGAATTTCATTCTCATCACTATATGATTGAATCTGTTGTTCTTTATCTTTCATAACTGAAAGTTTTGAGAGATAAGGTAAATTTTTAAATCCATAAGTTGATTGGTTTTCACATTCTAATGCAAGATTTGATGTTCTGTGATAATGATTATTTGAGAAGCTCATTTTAGCCTCCATATTGAATGAGGGTTTCAATTTATAAGATCTATTTATGCTTATTATTTGTAGTCTATGCATACAAAGAGACTTGATCGTAGATGTTAAATTTCTTTTCCAACAAACATGTCTCAAAAACTGAATAGTCACATTTCTCAAAACTTTTAGGAAATGTGTCCCTCGTCTGTATCACTTGCATTTCTCTTGAGTTTTACGTGCGTCTTATATGTGCAGTCCCGCAATTTCCCAAGCACTCTTGTAGCAATCTCTCTTCCATATGTTTTATGCACACACAAATTTGAAATGTCAAGCTTCTCAAATTGTGGGACAAGCTTCTCAAATTGTGGGACTAACCTTGATTTTCGGGTCAAAACCTACCAAATATTTAAAATATATGACAGAGCTCAGTATAGGGATTTACCGGAGGAAAAGGAGATTGTTTTGAGTTCTACAATTACGCTAGTGATAATTGTAATTTTCATTGATTGCATGGAACTTTACAAAGTTTTGTGTATTGTTCCTTCGGGGGTGTACAAATTTGCACAAAGTGACACTTTAACAAATAGTGTTTGAAAAAGAAGCACATAATGGTTCTAAAAAGCTGCACAGAAAGATTGTAGACACACGAATTTACGACTTTCTTGGCTTTTCTTGATGTATCGTGATAGAATCTGATGGGGATGCCCTCTCTTGCCATTCCATATGCCTCCCCATTTTCTTCTCTCTAGACATGCTTCGAAGATACCATGGTCCTTTCACCTCTATCTAAAATTTTGGAGGACATCAAGCATTCAATCCTCCAGGAATAGTCACTCATTTGCTTTTCCCATGAGATTTTGTTTGTCCAAGTCGTTTTCTGCCAACAATGGACCCCAACATGGGTCATACAATTTTAGATCGGTAGGCAGGGTATTTGCTTCTGCCATGGTTTCATGCATAATTCACAATTGGCCCATAGAAATATAGGATCTCTATTTCTCTGTCATCTCGAAAAACCAATGCATAGTGGTCCTGGATTACCACTTGAGGAGCCATCCAAGTTAAGTTTAATGGTCCCAAGGGGGGAAGGAATCCAAGATCAGAGTGTTGTCTTCTTTGGGGAGGAAAACAAGCAATGGAATGACAATGGTTGAACAAATCCATCTAGCAGTACCCCAGAACCATTTTTTTGTAGTAGCCTGTGATATTGCTAAGCCTTTGGTTTGATATAATGATGAGTGCCAAAGTGTTTGAGCAAATCCCAGTTAGCCAATTAATTATAATAGGATAGCCAGCATGTTAGATCTCCACAGCAAGAGGCCATGCTATGGCATGGGTGTGGAAAACCATTCATGGAATATTCCTTCCATAGAAGTTTGAATGATCCAATAAAAACCAAACAACTTAAAGAATAATTTCCAATCTAGAATATGCACCTTACAACGGAGGAACAGGTGAATGACCTATTAAGGCTATTCTGAATGTGGTTGAGATTGTAAGAACTTTGTCGATCACTACTAACCAACCAAAGGCCTGCACTATTTTAAGGGCTGGGATCTCCGACACTTTTCTTGCAAATGCTGGATCTACTATGGATTCACTGAGAATGTGGAAGAACGATTTAACCAAGAAGACCTATTGGCTATTGGACCCACATCAACTTATCAGATCCTCTTAATCATTGCCTTTAAATAATGATGATGATGATAATAATAATAATAATAATAATAATAAGATACTCTTTGAGTGATCTATAGTTATATACCTTTTTTGATTGCCCCAGAAACTGAATTAGGTCATGGATCAGCTCTTTACTTAGGTCTGTGTTACCTTTGATTCTAACTCTATTTCCATTATTTCTATTCAGAACGTCTGATATTAAGCATTCTTTGTTTTTGGTGATTCTCATCAATCTAAGGAAAGATTGTTCCAATGTCCAGGGTCCAATGATCAGTCCAGAACATTATGGGCATCCCTTAGAAACATATTCCTTTAATTGATTCCTAACTGAGTTGATTCTCTCCAAGCACCTGATACTGCCTGCTGTTTATTTTATTTCTCACCCACCAACCCATTTGATCAGTGCCATATTTTGGGAAAATCACTTATTCCCATATGCCGCTAGTGTCTTCAGCACCTCTCCACAACCTTTCCATTTGTCTTACTGGATTTTCTAATCCTCAGTTCTCCTTTTTTCTTCGGTAAGCCAATTGTATTCTAATTGTTGAGGTGAAACCTATGTTTGTTTTCTCAGTCTCCTCAAAGGGACTACCTTTTGGATATACTCAATCCTGTTTGCTGCAGTAGGCTGCACTATAAAGAGGGGTATAAATGATACAGGGAGGTTAGGTAGAGTTGCTTTTGTGAGAGGTATCCTTCCTTCAATGGGTAGATTTCTCTACCTCTCTATATTATTAATCTCCGCTCAAACCTCTCTATCACTTGATCCCATAGTACTTTTTTAGGTTTATCTACACTCAAAGGCAGCCCCAAGTATTTATTTGGCAGTAGATCAGCTTCACATCCTAGCCCTGGACCTAATTATCCTCCCTCTTTACGGCTGAGATCGATTGCACAGCATCTTATTTTTTAGGCCATATGTGATTTCAAAACATTTTAGAAACAACCAGAAATGTCCAAATATTCATTTTCTGCTTCAATGAAATCAACCGTCGTCAGCATACTAGGTGGGATGTGGTAAGGCCATTTGAACCTTGATTCAGTTTCATATTTTGGATTCTTGACATCATCTGACCGACATTTTTCCCATGATCAAGAACAAGAAGGGTGATGGTGGATGCCCTTGCTGGATGTCGTGGAAGCAAGGAAAAAACCTCAAGGTGCCCTCTTGATTAACACTGAAAAGTGGGCCTAGGAGACAAACCCTTGAATCCACTGACACCTTTTATATCCAAAACCATGGCTTCCAATGTTTGGTCCAGGACGACCTGGCCCACTTGGTCCTCTGCTCTCTCTAGATCCAACAAGTTGACTGTTCCTATGGCGAATATCAATTAGTTTATTGGCAATCAGTGCCCCATCCATTATTATCTGGCAGCCTTTCAAAAAAGCTCCTTCTGGAAAGAAGTTGTCATTGTGAAGCACTTCTCTCTGCGTTTTCGCCAATAAGTACATTGGCCAAATGTTTGTGTGCATTGCTTTATCAAAATAATAAAAATAAATAAATAAATAAATAACTAATAAAAAGAGAGAGTGAGAGAGGAAAACTGCTATGCTAATAGGGCTTATTGGGTGATAATTGTTAAGCTTTGCTGCACCTTCCTTTTTGGTTATTAGTTTTATAAATGTGGAATTCATATTGCTATGCATCTTTTTTCTCTATTATGGAACTTGGTGAATTCTTCTTTATGATCTTCAACAGTGAAGTCAAAGAAGTTCGGGTAGAAGGCCAATAGGTAACCATCTGGGCCAGAAGGGCATTCTTTGCTTAGGTCAAAAATGGCCCTTTTGATCTCCTCTTCGTCAAGAGGATGTTCCAGCCACTGATATCCTCTTTTTTCAGTACCTCACATTGATATTTTTGAGTAATTTCAGTTAGGGGTAAATCACTGGGTGGGTGACAGTAGGGTTCACTCAGTATTGTTGACGTGGCCAAAACTCTATCTATCCACTGTTTGAGTTTTGCCGTAAACATTTGGAGCTTCTTGCATCTGGACTCTGCCCAACTATTTACTCGAAAGGAAGACTGCCAATCTTTTATTAGGTGTGGATGCCCCGCATCTTGAAGCCACTTTAACTCACACTGGATTGGTTGTGGACCGCCAATTATAGGGTTGGTATATAACAGGATTGGTGTGTGATCTGGAAATAGGCTTTGCTGGATGAAAGCAACCCAAACCTGGGTACCTAATTTCCCTTTCCGAAAAGGTCACAAATTGGCCTTTGTTAGAATGGGTTGGTCATGGTGATTCAACCAAATGAAACTAGAGACATTGAGAGGAACAACTAGGAGCTGGTGTTGGGTAATAAAATTTGAGAAACCCACCCTGCTAGCAGATTTTCTTCCATGCTTGATCTTTTCATGATCCCAGCAAGTGATATTGAAATCCCTTCCCAAGCACCCCTGAAGGTTGAAGTGTCTGTGTATGCTTACTTTAACTCCACTCAAAATCTTCTCGGAAAGCAGGTGGCTTGGCTCATTTATCATCGTGAAAAGTCATTTGAAGCTATCTTCTTTACATGAGAAACTAGTAGAAACATAGTAGGAGCTGATTCTTGTTTCTCCACAATGAAGGACCATAGGATCCCAAAGGACCTGCACCGCCTTGGTGCTCCATGTGCTAGTATTGCTGCCCAATCCACTGAGTTTCTGCCTCTGGTTGGGTGTCGGATGTCTAGCTTGGTTTCAGACATCACCAAAATTGCAGGGTTTTTGGAATGAACAAAACTGAAAACTACTCTCTTTTTTTTTTTTGATGGCCCCCAGACCCCTTATATTCCATGCAAGAATTATATTCCATTCAGGCTATATCCTCCTTCCCCCCTCGCCCCTCCCCCAGCCCCCGCGCGGTGGGGGGGGGTTGGGTGGGTACTTTGGGCTTCAGGACTGTTTCTAT